CCCTTCCCTCTTCTCCTTTCCCCTTCCCCCTTTCCCTTTCCCTTCCCTTTTCCCCTTCCCCTTCCCCTTTGCTTTTTCTTTTCCACAGGGTCTCCCTCTGTCACTCAGGCAGGATTGCAGTGGCGTGATCATAACTCACTGCAGCCTTAATTCCTGGGCTCCAGTGATCTTTCCATCTCAGCCTCCCAAGTAACTTGGAGTTCAGGACTTTGTTTTATTTCACTTTTGTAGAGGTGAGGTCTTGCTGTGGTGCCCAGGATGGTCTCAAACTCTTGACCTAACGCTATCCTCCTGCCTCAACCTCCCAAAGCCCTGGGTTTACAGGCATGAGCCACCACACCCCACCTCAATTCTTTCTTTCAATTCTTTTGGTGTATACTTGGAAATAGTTGCCAGATCATAGGGTATAATCCTTCTAATATGCTGCTAGATTAGCTTTACCAGTATTTTTTTTTTTTAAGATTTAAAAAATCTATATTCATAAAGGATGTTGGGCTATAATTTTCTTGTGATGCTTTTATCTGGCTTTGGTATCAGGAGAGTATTGGTTTCATAGAATGAGTTAAGTGTTTCCTTGCTTCTATGTTTTTTTGGAGACTTTGAGAAGGATTGGCATTTTTTTTCTTGAAATAATGGGTAGAATTCACCAGTCTAATTATCTGGTTCTGGGCTTTTTTATCTGAGTGTTCTGTGATTACTGATTTAATCTTTTTATATGTTATTGGTCTGTTCAGATGTTCTATTTCTTCTTGAGTCATTTTTGGTAGTTTGTATATAATTTTATTTAGGTTATCTGATTTGTTAGCATATAATTATAGTATTTTTAAATATTTCCTTTTATTTCTGTAAGGTTGATAATAATGTTCCCACTATCATACCTGATTTTAGTGATTTTAGTCTTCCTTTTTCCTTTGGTCAGTCTTTCTTAAGGTTTGCCAATGTTACTCCCCTTTTTAAAGAACTTACCGCTCATAGTTGCTCACACTCAAAGTCCCAGCTACTTGGGACGCTGAGTCAGGAGGAGTGCTTGAACCCAGGAGTCTGAGGCTGCAGTGAGCCATGATTGTGCCACTGCATTCCAGTCTGGATGACAGGGTGAGACCACCATCTCTTAAAAACCAAAGAAAACTCACTTTTGGTTTTGTTGCTTTTCTTTATTGTTTTTGTTTTCTCTATTTCATAGATCTCTGCTCTAATCTTTATTATTTCCTTTCTTCTTGCTTTGGGTTTAGTTTTCTCATATATTTCTAGTTTCTTAAGGTAGAAGTTTAGGTTATTTACTCTATTGTGATTAGAAAAGATACTTTGTATGATTGATTTCAAAATTGTTGTTTAAAAGTTATTAAGACTTGTTTGGTGGCTGAACATGTAGTCTGTCCTGGAGAATATCCCATGTGCACTTGAGAAGAATGTGTATGTTGCTATTGTAAGTGGGAGTTTTTTTTGTATATGTCTGTTATGTCTAGTTGGTTTACAGCATTGTTCATGTCTTCTGTTTCCTTGTTTATCTTTTGCTAATTATGCTATTCATTGTTGAAAGTGTGGAGTTGATGTCTCCAGCTAGTTCCCCCTTTAATTTTGTTAATTTTTGCTTCATATAGTTTGTCATATATTGTTAGATACATATGTTTATAATTATATCTTGATCTCTTTTTTATTATATGTTCTTCTTTGTTTTGTAAGAATTTTTGACTTAAAGTCTATTTGTGTGATATTAGTATAATCACATCAACTCTTTTTTTATCATTTTGTATTACAGATGAAGAAACCAAGGTTAAACTAAGAGCACTTAGGTGACTTGGCTAAGATTTCAGAGTTGGTGTTAAGGGCTTGATTTGGGATCCTGATGGTCTGGGTGCAGAGTCTTTTTTTCTAAATTACTATGAACTCTGGCTTTCTTAAATGGTAGAGTTACTTCTCTCTTCTTCTTGTGGAGTTGTACCATTTTATGTGTTTATTTATTTTGAGTTGGGGTCTTACTCTGTTACCCAGACTGGAGTGCAATGCCATGATCATGGCTGACTGTACCTTGACCTCATGGACTCAGACGATCCTCTCATCTTAACCTCCCTACTCGAGTAGCTGGGACTATAGGCATGTGTCACTGTGCCTGGCTAATTATTTGATTTTTTTGTAGAGAGGAGGTATTGCTACATTGCCCAGGCTGGGCTCAAGTAGTCATCCTGCCTTGGCCTCCCAAAGTGCTGGGATTACAGATGTAAACCACCGTGCCAGCCTTATGTTCTTTTTAGAAGTATCCTGCTCCTTTGTGCCACTGAGTGGGAATGTTTGTTTCTCATGTTCCTGTTCAGAACTTGGAATGCCCTTTCTCCCATAAAAAAAAAATTATTTATGATGGCTTGGCATAGCTGAAATTCTGTTGTTAATACTCATCTACAGTCACATAATATGTTTAAAAAGCTTCCTTTGGGACAGTCACCACAATTTATAATGTGAGACATTGTTTCTGTGGGAAACTGTGAGAAGAAATTTATTTTAAATTCACTTGCCTGAAAGATGAGACTTCAGTTATATGGAAGTTATACTTTCCTTTTTGAAATTTCTAACATTTAGAATTTACTCAGGTGTTAATAAGCCATATTTTAAAAAGGACAAACATAATTAGTTTGTGCACAAATTTTATTTTGTTTAGCTTTGATTAATTTGTTGACTAATGTCTTTCAGGGTTATTCGAATGCTCAGAAGAATGTTCTTCTTCAGGTGGAGCAGAACTGTGTTCGTAATTCTTATGACGTTTTCTCTTTGCTACGGTAAGAAACTTGCTAGAGTCCTCCCGAATTCTAAAGACTCTTCCTAATTTTGAGTTTGTGACATTTCAATGTGAGAAAGTATATGGGAGCTTTAGAGGCTGTTATTCACGCATAGCATTTTTTAGTGCAAGCCTCATAAATTTTGTAGCTATAATGATTTAAGTTTATCTCTTTTACAAAGTCTTTGGAAAGCCATTTCCTTTCTCTGGACAGTGAAAAGAGTGCTTGGAAGCCAGTGATCTTAAAATAGGGATGTAAACTATTTTCTGGTCTCCTGTATTCTACAGAACAACAACTAGTGGTGCAAAATTTAGGCTTAATCAAGTCCTAACAACGACAGCATCACTAGAAAAGCCCTCCAGCAGCCCCAAACATGGCATTGAGTTTTGGTCTTCTTAAAAGAATCATGTTTGGCAAACCCAAGAGGCTTTTTATATATCTAATGCACAAAGGCTTTTAATATATCTAATGCTTTTTATATATTAAATGCCTCAGCTCTATATATTCGTAATGTCTCAGCTTAATTTTGAAAGATTTTAAAAATTGACTTTAATTTAATTTAATTTAATTTTTTTAAGAATTTTTTAATTTTTTTGAGTCAGAGTCTCACTCCGTCGCCCAGGCTGGAGTACAGTGGCACGCTCACAGCCACCCCAGTATTGACCTGCTGGGCTCTGGTGATCCTTCCACCTCAGCCTTCCAAATAGCCGTAACTACAGGTGTGTGCTACTGCACCCCAGCTAATTTTTGACTTATTGTAGAGACGAGGTCTCGCCAAGTTGCCCTGGCTGGTCTCGAACCTGTGGGCTCAGGCAGTTCACTCGCCTAAGCCTCCCAAAGTGCTGGGATTACAGGCTTGGGCCACCGCTCCTGGTTGGCTTTAATTTTAAATGTGATAGGTCATCAAGGATATTTTCCTAGAGTGCAAGCTACCAAAATAAATGTAATTCAAAATAAAGTTAACAGTGACACTCAACCTATGTTCACCCTACTCAGACAGATTGTTCATTGAAGTTTGATTTTGGCAGTATTTTCTAATATTTACCCAACACATCATAAATTTCAGACCATTAGATATCCTAGATATGTATCTATTAGAGGAATAGTTCAGAAGGATGCTTGAGAAATGGCTATTTTATAAACATTATGAAATTGGCCTTTCCTTTGTGAAACTTGAATCTTATTATATATGATGATGATATAGAGTTTGGTCACATGGACTGTGTAAGTTAAGAAGTAGTGATTTTCACTAAAGTAATCTCATATGTTTAATTATTTTTGAGACGATCCTTACACCTTGACTGCTTAGGATATATAACAGAATAGACAAGATCTTTTAGTTAGAGGGTGGGCATGGGGGAGCTGCCAAAATGAATACATTTTAAAACCTATTCAGTTTGGAACACATTGAGTTTTAAGTTTCAAAAAGAGGAATGTCCAGAAATTGTTTGAAATGTTAGTAAGCCACTAATATTTCATGACCTCTCTTTCCCTCAGTAAAATGAGGGTATAGATACAATTATTTTAAAGATATTTTCTAAGTATAAGATTCTGTGATCTTACTAGAGAAACCAGTAGAAGTAAAAGAAAAAATACTTGAAGAGGAAGAAGAGGATTTGGGATAGTGATGCGTCATAGATACTAAGAGAGTAATTTCAAGGAGTATCGAAAGCTTTGCAGTAACAGAAACCAGAGACTGATGAAAGACTGCTGGGTCTTATGAAGCAATGTAGTATAATAAGAATGCTTTGATGAATCTGATCCTTTCTTTATTCCTGATTTATCCTCATTCATGTAACATCTCTGATTATTTTAAAAGGTAGAAGCAGTGATGTTACAAATTTGTGTAATGTTCAAGCATTTTCACATTTGTTATCTTTTTCTCTTGGAAGTTTTTGTGTTCACAGCTCTGGAATGATAACCTTTGTCTTAAGTGTAGAAGCTGAGGCCAAGAGGCATTTAATTGATTTATCTTTTTGAGGGCACACAGCAAATAAAAGCCAAACTGCAAGTTGTTTTTAAGGTTTTCTGACCAGCATGTCTTGTAGATACTTTGTTTTTCTTTTCTTTCCTTTTTTTCTTTTTTTGGTCAGGGGTCTCACTGTGTCTCCCAGGCTGGAGTGCAGTGGCACGATCACAGCTCATCAGCCTTGACCTACTGGGCTCAGGTGATCCTTCTGCTTTAGCCTCCCAAGTAGCTAGGACTACAGGTATGCGCCACCACATCAGCTGATTTTTTATTTTTTTTTTATTTTTGTAGAAATGAGATCTTGCAGCCAGGCTCAGTGGCTCAGCCTGTAATCCCGCACCTTGGGAGGCTGAGGTGAGTGGATTGCCTGAGTTCCCGGGTTCGAGACCTGCCTGGTCAACTTGGTGAGACCTCATCTCTACAATAAATCAAAAAATTAGCTGGGTGTGGTAGCGCACGCCTGTAGTTCCAGCTACTTGGAAGGCTGAGGCAGAAGGATTGCCGGAGCCCAGCAGGTTGAGGCTGCGGTGGCCCGGAGTGGCCACTGCATTCCAGTTTGGGTGACAGAGTGAGACTCCAACTCAAAAAGAAAAAAGAAATGAGATCTTGCTGTGTTTCCCAGCCTGGTCTCAAACTCCTGAGCTTGAGCAATTCTCCCTCCTCAGCCTTGCAAAGTGCTGGGATTACAGACATGAGCCACTGCGCCCCAGCCTTGTAGATCCCTTTAATAGTCACCTTCCAAGACTGGTGGTTAAAAGGTGCATATGTCATAAGGACCGAGGAAATTTTTTGAAAAGCACAGTGTTCTGCATAAATGTAAAGCCATCAGACTAATTTGGTAGTTACCTAATTATTTAACATTGATCTTGCAGTGATTTAACTCTTGGGATTTCATATCTAGGATCCTATCCGAGTTCCTCAGTAATTCAAACTGCCTTATTAAGTTTCCTTATCACCATTTATAGCTAATAACAGAGATATACTTTTCCTGAACCAGATCAACAGTCTGTTTATCAACCAGATTACCTGAACCCAGGGAGTTAGTTACTCTGGAACTGGAAACTTGAAATTGTCATTGTTGGCGACCCCCTTGGGTCCCCTCCCACTGTGGGAGCTATTCTGTCCTCTTGGTAAATTCTGCTTAAAAAGAAAAGAAATTGTCATTGTCAACGTTAATGAGTAAAATGGAACTTTCTGTGATCGTTCTCTCAGACATTAGAAGAGTACCCATCATCTGCTCTATTTGCCGTAGAGATTGCCATGAATATGTGAAGTACTTGCTGAGAAACTTTGTACCTGTCACATTAAACTATTGTTCATAGTTTTGTTTCTAACTTAGGCAACATTATCCCTGGATGGAGTCGTTTGAAAAAAAAATTCCCTTTTTTTCACCTGATGCTGTCTTTATATAAATTGCTGCCACTTGATATGTAATTTTATGTGAAAACACACAGAGTCTGAATCTTTAATGTCACTTTATAAAATTCTCCATGCTGTTTGGAGTCAGGATTAAAACCCAGGTCTCCTGATTCTGTTTTTTGAGAGTATATTCAAGTTAATAACTTTCACTGTACTCTTATGCCACTGGGAGACATACATTCCCTCCACTTTTTGTGTTGGAGTGTCACAGAAAAGTAGGAACTCTTGACCAAGGCAAAGACTTTGGAGCACCTAAAACCAGGGCATTAAAGTGTCTTCAGTTGTATATGTTGTACTGTTTTTTGTTGCTTTTTTTTAGAAAGTAAGAGTTTATTAAGAAGACAGAAAAGCTCCCCCAGCAGGAGGGGACCTGAAAGAGGGTTGCCCTGTTGAACTGTTTTATAGGAAAACAGTGACCTGAGATTTTATTCAGCAGCTTTGGCCTATAATTAGTCATTGCCAAAGTATTAGCAGCTCTTTCCAAATTTATAGTTAGTGTGTGATGGTAATCGAACTTTTGCTTCTTAACTGTTAGAAATCTCTGCATTAGAGTTTGCTTTCAGGTAAACAGACATGTAATTAGAACAGTTAATAACTGTACTCATTGTTATATTTGATACTTTAGGCTGTTCACCACAAGGTGTCTTTAACGGGTTTGAAATTTTATTTATATTTACAATTTTGTCTTTTTAAAAATAGATGGGGTCTTACTATATTGCCCAGGATGGTCTTGAACTCCTGGGCTGAAGATCCTCCCACCTCAGCCTCCTAAAGTGTTGAGATTACAGGCATGAGCTACCATACCCAGCCTGTTTTTACAATTTTGGGGTGAGAAAAGTAGAAGTCTTCAATGGAGTATAAAACAGTGTTAGAAATGATGAGTAATCAGCATTCATTTTTAGAAGTGAACTTTTAAATCTCTTATTGTTTCTTCTAGGTTAAGGAATATAGACTTATTAGATAGCTTTTTCCTTTTGTTTTTTTTTTTTAATCCTGTTGGTGATAGGGAATTATTGAAAGATTGTAAAGAGAGGAGGAGTGATTTGGTCGGGTTTGCAATTAGCAATTCTAACTGTGGCGACTGTGAAATAGACCTGAAGGGTGAGACTGGAAGCAAGGATTCGTGTCTAATCTTACCTGTTCTCTGAAACTGAAAGATTATTTTTGGTGTTAAAAAACTCATTTTAAAAAAATAGTTTCTAAAAGAGGTAGCTCTATTGTAGTAAGTCAAGTAGTAATTCTGATTTTCTTCTAGTACAATTTTTATTGTTTTTTTTTCTTTTGAAATGTCTTGGTTTTGCCAGTTTAATAAGTGGAAGTATGGTGGAAAAATCAAGGGCTTTGGTTCTTTCCTTAGGTTCCAATTCTAAAACTGCTGTATGCAGATAGGCTGGATGCAAGATTTGGGCAGGTTATTTAACTTTTGTATGCCTCAGCCTACTTTTGTAAAATGGAATATTGTCTCATGCCATTGGGAATCTTGATAGAATTAAATAAGGTAAAATATTTGAAAGATCCCAGAACAGTGACTGACATATAGTAGATATTTACTAACACGCGTTTTCTTCTTCCTCTTTACTTCCCCAATCTTGGAGTGAACTTTTCCCTCTAA